AAATGAGGAACTTTTATAATAAGATGACAGCACGATGTGGAATTATTCTGTTCGCTTGAAATTATCTGAAATTGTCTGAGGAAAATGACATTTATATCAATTCCCACCAAACGTGAAAACACGATGTTAATTATACATAATGACCAGTAAGAATTATGAAAGGATCAAAACTATTTTTTTCCTATTCTAATACATATTAAATGTATAAGCAGTGTTGTACCGTAGTCATATAGACTACACTTATTGAGACACATTTCTACAGGTATTTCGACAGAATAGTTTCAATAGTTCTTTTTATTGGTTTAATATTATAATAATAAATATATTATTATACATATTTACTTACAAAAAGAACATTTGTTTCATGTTTTAACCTAATATGTATGTTAATAAAACATCAAAGAAACTAAAAACTTGAAAGGTTTTTTTATTAGTATGATTGGACTATAAAATTCACTAATCTTTTCTCATTTTTTATGGCTTAACTAATGGTTTCGTTTCCATGTCAAGAATCCTTAAAAAGCTTGTCCAATGTAAGTAAGATACACTTAAATAAGAGAACTATTGTGTCAAGAGTAAGACAATTTGTTTTAAACCATACTCTAATGATGTGTAGGGGTCTTAGTTATGGGAGAGATTTTGACACTGATTAAGCTATTGTCATTGTGTTAAAATAATTTAGACAAGCACTTAACATAATGATGTATTTGTCAAAAACCATTTGCAAAATATGTCCTTACTTTTGTATTTAATGCTATCCCAGCGTTCATTTTGTTTTTCTTTTGCTATTTATAAAAATCAAACACGTAGCAAAAATAAATCAATAAAAAAGACAAATTTCAGACAACGTTATCTATATGAATGCGTCTAGGGGATTTCCTTGCATCGTTAAACAAAACAATACACCACCTTACAAATGTTTTAGAGGTTCAAAAGGAAGGCATCACTCTTATGCAGACTCCAAAACACTAACAAAATTGCAGAATTTTTATAACCCTTAAAACACTGGGTTTTATCAAATGGTAAATAAATATTTTTCTTGGTAGAGTTAAAACTATTTATGTGTTTGAATTATATAATAACCCAAAATAATAGATATAAGATAATTATTATATACTCATAAATGAAATATTATTGAGAAATATTGATGAAATAAAATGCGTATTGTGTTAAAATCATTTAGACAAGCACTTAACATAATGATATATTTGTCAAAAACCATTTGTGAAATATGTCCTTACTTTTGTATTTAATGCTATCCCATCGTTCATTTTGTTTTTCTTATGCTATTTAAAAAAATCAAACACATAGCAAAAATAAATCATGATGGATTATTTCTTCTATTGTTAATAATTTAGTTCAATCTGAAATGTTAATACATACCGTTCAAATTTCAATGCATATGGTTAACATTTGGGTTAGATATGAGTAAAATTAAAATTATTGAATGTAGAGCATCAGGGCCTTGTAAATACAATATCGATTGATCGGTTGATAAATCCTTAAAATCAATCAGAATGACCGTCTAAATCCCATATTTAAATAAACAGTTTTATTATATCTAACGCTGACACTATTCTAGCTTTGTACATGTGTACATTTAATACAGGCCAAGGTCTAGTAGGAACACAGACGTTAGCATGCATTGAACACTGTCATCCGCTTCAAGCTGAACCGAAGCAATAGCAATGTTGACATAATTGTTGCATATGTTTTTCTTTTTTTCTTTTAAAGCCAATTCCAATCAATTAATTGATTATGTTTGTCGTCAAATTGTAGACCTTGACGCCGTTTAACTTTTATGTTTCCACTTTTATTTTAACATATTTATTTGTAAGAAGGTGCCATTCTCCTATTTCTTACACTAGTATGTTTCTGTAATTAAATATTTTTGTCAAGTTATGGCTTGAGTTGGATCACTTTTTATATTTTAAACTGAGATTAAAATGTGTTAATATGCAAGATAAAATATCGAAATAAGTCCTTTGCTACCATTTTGCCTGTTTCAAATCTAAATTGATAAGCACAATTTTGTTCTTCTTCATGCTCTCAAATTTCCTTTTCGTAACATCTCTTCATATGTTTGGCAAACAATACCACGCCATAACATTCCTCTTAACAAGCTTTGATGAATATTGCTTGTTGCGATATTTCATTATTCCAAGTTACATAAATTTCTCACATACAACAAAACTGTCCTGTTACAAAACTCTTTACAGAAGTGTAAAATCTATATTGTATGCATGAACTTTATGTATTTTATATGTTTAATTAAAATTGTACGAATGTCTATGAAGGTAAATTAAAAGTAATTTTTACAATTATGATAAATTAGAGACGAACATATTTACGCGTATAAAGATAAATAATAAATACGTTCTTTCGTTTGTTACTGATAAACCTGAATCAAATTTAATTAACTGATGTAACTAACTTGTCATACACAAATAAATATTGTAAGTTATTTTAATAGTAAATGTTATATTTCTTCAAAATTACCTCTTTGCACAGTTGCCTAAAATTTGCCATTCAATTTGATTTGACAAACATGCTGTGAGAAAGATAGATTATTACGATTTGTCAAAATGACATTTTTCGGGTGATCAATCTCTTTCTCACTTTTAAAATTGAACAATTAACCTGATCATGTCTCGTGTAATATATTTTTCTCAACGGAATGTCGGGCATATGTTCCTCTAAGTTTGGTGTAAAACGGCTGGAATACCATAGTTATAAGTATAATTTTAATCTTTTTGAAAATATTTTGTCATATGATATTAAAGCATTGTGTTTCTATTTTCTTGATTGTTAGTCTGCATCTCGTAATATTTGCATTTTGAGTTCCTATTCTGTGTAACAAAACGTAACGAAAATCCTTTTGTGAATTCGTGCATCAATTATATTTGCACAAACTGTCGTTAATAAAGGCCCGAGAAGTTATAAGTTTTATTTTTCTCAAAGTTTATTTTTATTTATTTGTTGATTTAATTTTATAACTTTTTAGCAAATAACCCGGACCAACTTTTGCTTCTGATCCTTTTTGTTTTGCAAAATGTTTAGTTATAGTGAGTTGATATTTTGTATGGAAGTCAAAATACTACTTTGATTGCCTTTTGCTATTTATATGACATTGTTTTCACAGTAAGTGCTACTGTCCTTATGTAACAAGCAGCTAAAATGTTCTAAAACCATTATTTAGGCGTTATAAAAACATGTATGCCTTTAATGGTACATTCTTATAAGCAGTGGTTTAAGCGTCTTTTTATACGTTCATGAATTCATTGGTTCTGTCTATACCTACAGTGAATAAGTCTTATAATTTTAAAAGTCAATATTGCATAATTAAGTGAATGTCACGTGAAATATTTATGTTCACTAATTTCTATACAAGGCGCATTCTTTGCACTTCCGTTCGGTAGGAACTGATTGAAGTGTCCATGTGAACTTTAAAATCTTTCTAAGAAATCCTTTGAAAAATACAACGGCTTTACAATCTATAGTTTTTGTATCGAATACAATTATCTTGATGTGAGCATGAGATATAAAAATACATTTTACACATCAGCAATTATATTGGCAGAACATAATCCTCAAAAAGTTTATTTAATTAGCTAAGGCCTTGAAGAAATACAAGATATAACTGAAGTCATTTTGTTTGGAAATGACGTCTTATTCTATATTACCTTTTATTTGGGAAAACAAATTAAAATATATAATGCAAAATTGAAGAGGAATTCAAAAATACATTTTAGCAATATATTAGACAGTAATACATTTTACATTAATGCAAGGCAATGGTGTCGGCACAATGTCAAGTATGTCAAAATTATAGAGGAGTTAAAAATACATTTAAGCAATCTATTAGCAATACATTTTACATTAATGTCAGGCAATGGTGTCGGCACAATGTCAAGTATGTCATGCAAATAGCTTAAACACATATTATAGTTAATAACACTATTATATATGAACTGTGCTGAGTCTGTTGCATAAAAAGGAACACTAACTTAAAATAATATAAATATGATCTTCTATAACTCTACATAAAATTTGATTTTAAATTAGATAATGAGAGAGTTATTGCTCCATTAAACTTATATGTAAAGTGTCATATGCGCAGACAGCAAAGAAGTTTTTATAAGTCTTTTTGGTTATGGAATATATTAGTGAATACCATAAAGCATTCGACCTGTTATCTCCTAATGCGTTTAGCAAATTTTGTTATATTTGTTCCCGGAAACACAGATCTTGTGTCACATGCTTTTAGCAAGGTCTAACACAATTTCCATGTCGTCAAATATATGATCATCTCTTCTTCTTTTTCCAATATTGAGTTTTTGTTACATTAAGATTGTGACACTAAGGATAAAAAGAGACTTGCAAAGTAAACAAGAACATAAAATTCAGTCATTTTATACCATATGAAGGGATGGACCGTAAATATTCTTTCTTAAACAGTACACTTAAGCAATGATAATAGAGTTTATTACAACACTAATGCTGCAAAGTGAAATACAGACATACTATTGTTTTTACTTTATATTTGTTTTTAAAGAACAGTGTTTATTGCACATTTAGAAATCGTTATTATATTTTTTATGATAAAAATAAAAATTACATTTGACTTTTATAAATCTCCTTACTGTATCTGCATGTTAACAAATCAACAATACAATGGTGAACAAAACCTGAAATCCCCATTTAATCATATACATGTTTGTGTTTATCATAAAGCAACTGTCTAAAAATTGAAATATTTATGTTACAAGCAAGTAATTTTATAGATCATATCCAAAAACACTTGTGCGATTTCTAATCATTACATTTTTATTGTACGTACACAAGCAATGAATGATACTATTTTTCAACGAGTTTTGATTGGCTGTTGAATTCATTCAGCTAGATCGTTTATTGGAAATCATTGAGAGCCGCTATCACTTTCCAAACGCGCGCGTTGACAATATAAGACGATCTCCAAGTACTTCGCAGAGCGACTTGAAAACTCGCGTGGAACAATCACTGTAAGAATGAGAATTGCAGGTATAAAAGTGTATCGTAGAGGAATTACGATCTTAATAAAAAGGCAGAAGAAATACCGTCCACAATAGTTTAGCGATTTGAAGTGGAATACGTCCAACTGTAGCATAAGATTCTTAAAATAGTGGAATAAATAATAAAAGTGTTTTTAATGGAGGATTAAGATATGAAAGTAAAAACTGAATGTAAAAGAGTTTTGACAATTCGAAAAACATTTCCAGTATTCCTGTCAGTATGTATATTTCTAATTTTATTGCAAAACAACATGGATACAGATGTTTCTTTAATTAACAGAATGGAAAACGATTTTACACTAAAAGGATTCAATATTCGCCTTCTGGACAATTTGGAAGAAATAGAAGAAAACTTTTCAAGTCAATATAATAAAACTTATATATTTGGCACAAACACTAGTACGCGTTCTAAGGAATGTACTCGGAAGTTACCGGATGCAATTATAATTGGAGTGAAAAAGTGTGGAACGCGCGCATTACTTGAGTATCTAAGATTAAATCCTAATATCAAAGCTGCAGGACCAGAACCTCATTTCTTTGACAGATATTATCATTTGGGACTTGATTGGTACAGGTGATTAATGACATTTGTAGTATTTAAACATTGATGTTCAACTTTTACGAAAAAATTGTTAACACAACATCAAATAATAAACAGAATGCATCAGATACAGCATATCTTAATAACTTTTTTTATTTTACTTACCTAGCTGTCTCTTCACTTATAAAGATAGCCTTATAAAGCTTTGTACGTTTGAAAAAAAATATAATGATAATTTTTAAGAAAACAAGCAGTCGTTCTGTTTTCTGTTCTATTTCTTTTGACAACTTTTATGAATAGTTATACATCTATGTGAGTTTTACTCGTAATTCAAACCGGTCCTTTTAATTTTATTGGCATATGTCTTTTATGTAATGTATTTAAGGGTAAAAAGATTCGCTTAACCCCGTGTAGTGATTGTTTCGACAAGGCAGTTTGAATAGCTTCAACAATACTTTTCAGAAATGGTGATTTTAATCATATTTTTACTTAAATTATTGTTTTGAATTATCACATAGTTTTTTCTATCTTTAGACAAAAGATGCCAAAGACTCATGATGGACAACTGACGATTGAGAAAACTCCAAGATATTTCATAACAAAGGAAGTGCCAGAAAGGATTTATAATATGTCAAAATCTATAAAACTTATACTAGTTGTGCGAAACCCAGTTACTCGTGCAATTTCTGATTTTACACAAGCTGTAAGTAAAGGAGAATACAACAGCAATGTAACATTTCAAAGCAAGGCTATACGACGTAACGGAACCGTAAATATGAAATGGTCAGCTGTTAATATAGGTCTTTATATAAATCATTTAAAAAGATGGTTAAAATATTTTGTGATGGAAAATATACATATTGTTGACGGTGAAAAGTTAATATCAAATCCTTTGCAGGAATTAAATGCTGTTCAAGATTTCTTGGAAGTACCAAGAGAAATTTCAGGCAACGCCATCTATATGAATGCGTCTAGGGGATTTCCTTGCATCTTAAAGCAAAACAATACACCACCTTACAAATGTTTTAGAGGTTCAAAGGGAAGGCATCACTCTTATGCAGACTCAAAAACACTAACAAAATTGCAGTATTTTTATAAACCTTATAACAATGGGTTTTATCAAATGGTTAATAAATATTTTTCTTGGTAGAATTGAATATATCTATGTGTTTGAATTATTCAATTACCAAAAATAATAGATATAAGATAATTATTTTATACTCATAAATGAAACATTATTGAGAAATATAATGCGTATTTTCATTTTTCCGTATTTTCACTATAAAATTTTATTTATCCCTGTAGTGAAACATATTTTCCGTATTTTCAATGGTTTCTTGGCGGACTACTCTCTTTTAAATTTAGTCAGTAGACAATATTTGGGGAAGTATTTCAAATTGTTATGTCAAAAAAGAAAGAAAAATGTTTATAATACTAGACAGAAAATTCAAGATTTTCTATAAATAAGGATTTATTTTCATCTTGTCGTATGAACATTGTTTTTACTCATAAAATCGTCATGACCAGTGCATATGGCAAATTCCTCTTGAACATAATCATTAAATGTTATATCAACGGATACAGTATCTTACATCGACGCACAAAAATATGGTTTCATCAAAACAAATTGTTCAAGAGTAAAGACATATTTTTTATGTGCCGTGTGGAGGCCGTAAAAAGTCGCCGCGTACATGCAATCAGAGATGTTAGTTTTCCGATCCTTGAGAAGCTTCAATAATATTCATTTACTTATTTTTGCTCAATGTTTTCTCGTTATGAGCACACGCTTTCTTTTATTGTTAACTATCGTCCGCTTTTCATGGATTGGCACCAAAGTGTCACATTGAAGATTCAAAGATAACGAGCACGTCTATGGACATTTGCAAATTCAAAACTTTAGCGTTTTTTTGTTAATTTTGAATTTAGCTAAGCAGGTACTACGGAGCAAAGGCAGTATCTTGCACAATTTCAGTACCGCCCTTAATCAGGCTGAATCAAACCGAGCCCGCATCGTTTGGACGTTCTTTTAGGGGTTATATAATATGTACCCAATGAACGAGCATCTGAATATGGTATTTCTATCTCTGTCGTCAGAATATGTAAACCTCGGACAAAATGAACCAATCAATGGGCGTGCTCTGGAGTGGCGGGTAACTAATACCTGCACGTCAGTAAACGCACTGTGCATGTACATGTATACGATTTAACTCTTACACATTTTCAACAACAAGGTCCCCAAATTATGATACAAATATATTTTAACAAACAATGACGTTTTAAATAATTAGTTGCCTAACATTTTTGTCAAATGAAAGCCGGGACAAAACTTAAGTGAAAATGTTACAGGCTTGGTTTTATTTGAAGTGATATATGCAGGCTAACGTTCACGCCTCCAACAGCGCCTGTTTAAACATATTTCAACGTTTAAAGATTCTGTAACACAATTTTTTCATGGTTTTATTTCATAAATATGATGCTTAGAAATGCTGAAATGCTGAAAACCCATATATAATATAAAATTACATTGAAAAGTTACTATAGAAAAGAGTACTAAAACGATGCTTGTTAGTTTAAGATATTTTCACAAATGATTTATTGTCAAAAATGTTTATAAGATCTAAAATTGTGCGTTATGCCCGCTTTTTAAACGTCGTTTTTATATCATTTTATGACATTGAAATAGAGTTGCTATAATATACATGTCTAATACATGACTTTTTATATTCAGAACTATAAAAAAACGTTATGGTTTATACAAATGTCAGATCCTTGTGAGTGTGATAGCATAGAGAGGTTATGATATTTTGCATAACACCGCTCTTACTTTAGCACAAAATAATGGTTATAAGAATTTAATTAAATACGATCTTACAATAAACGTTTATATGACGAAGACCTTTGAATTTTTATAAATAAAATCTTACAGAATTTTTGTTACATGTATTACCCTTGACAAGGACAGTACATTTCCCTTTAAATAATGAAATCAGTCATGGTAAGACTAGACTGTCACAGATATAAAATTCAATTTACATATTTGCTCAGGAGAGCCCCACTAATTCGACGTTGTTGATGACAAAGGACAGAACGGTCAGTGTTAAATAAATCAGACTGTGCAAATATAGGAAAATATAATGACAGATCTGTCAAGAATCGCTATTACTAGGACGTAAAAACTATATTCACTTTTAAAAATGACTAAAATAGGCTATTTTAATTTTTTGGCGTCTTTGTACAAAATGAGAAAGCCTTGATGAATATGAAATTAATAGATTATATGTGTGTTTAGGTTCGTTTACCTTCGCCACCGGAATGATTTACACATGGGCGAGCAAAATCAAAAGGACAAATTGCAGATTTATTGAATAAGTTTAACGTTTTGTATTTTTTTAAATGATTATACAAAATAACACACGATAACTAACTAGCATATTAACTCATAACAAGTGCATGATAAATCAACTAGTAAATAATTCAGTGCAATTCTGTTTTGTTCTTGCGTTTCACCCCTAGGCAATAAGTGCAACTCTAGTTTCCACAATATTCTGATAAAACCGTTCAAACGTTCAAAATTCAATATGTTTGTTTAATGCGAACTCACGTTATTTTTAGATTTGGTTAATTTTCATACAAAATTGAGATATTTATAATTGTGAAATGTGTTAGAATTTTGAAAAGTTATTCAAGATAACAAAAAAAGTCACATTTTTCAAATATAATTTCAAATTGTTTTTAACCGAAACTATGCGGAGAAAAGCAAATTGCTTAGATCCAGGAATAAATTGCTTGTTTTTGATTTATTTTATGTACTGGGGTATTGATTAGTATATGTAATAACTAAACTAAAGTTATTTTTTTGCATAATTATCAAGTTGTTGCCTTTGCTTGTTGACATAACATTATGCATGTTTTAACACCGGACCATAGAAATAAGACGTCTGGACCTGCTGAATATTGCTGATTTTATTATTATATGAAAACATTTATCAAATCTTGTCTGCTATTTTATTATTTTACATGTTTTGTTTTTATATTGCTAGTGATGAAATTGTCTTGACATTGTAGAAATAGGGGAAATAGAGGGAAATTGTTAACCATTTTTTAAGAAATATAGTCTATATTAACGTATGATATACAGCTGTTTACAACACTATTTGAATAGGAAATAAACAGAAATAACGTTTCAATATATGTTTGAATAAATAATGATAGGACATAGAGACAATGACTTGCACATGAAGTACGGCACATATCTGTATGTAAGTTTTGACTATGAATATACACGCAGACTCAAAAACTGTAAATATTACAATTGAACGCTTTCGCTCGTAATTGTACCGGTTTTTTAAGATAACACACTGTACCAAAATGAATATAAAAGTGTTTTAAAAAATCCTTTTTGGGGGTCTTTAAATGCCCATTATTAAATTATGTTACGTGACTTATGTTGTCTAGATACGTTTGAAAAGGCTGACAATGCGTCATAGTTAGTATTATGGTTCCGAATTCTGAAAAGTAAATTAAAGTAATTTGACTGTTTTACTCTAACTATACATAAATCAGATCAAATATCAATTAAAATCGTAATGATATGTTTTGATTCATTGATTAAATGGATAAATGTATCACAAGATGGCGAAATAAGTTTAAAATCAATTACATATATGGGTATCTATGAAAGATTTTCAACTTTCAAAATACTATATTGCTATTGAAAATAACAATGTGAGAGATACACGCTGCGTTCAATGCAACCATTACCATTAAAGTATGTGATGAATACATGTTTTTTAAAAAAAAAGTGTGAATGGTATAATCCAATAGTACATGTAATAGAAAGAGCATCAACACACTAGGCTTTATGTCTTTGTACGAGGAGACCATACCCACGAGTGAAAATTAGATTGCCGTGTGTTTTGATATTCTTTCTCTTTTGCATCATAGGCAAAAAAAAAAAAACACTTTTCCTGTCGTAACAATATGACACCCAAGAAAAGAGTAACCAATGTACTTTAAACCAGCTTCTGAACATACTTTTTGAGAAGAGAAACCGTTTCAACCCCGGTGCGGGGGGCGTGGGGGATGTTGCATTATTCCATTTTCCCTCATTACAGATTTAAATTCCAAACCAGCTCCCAAATTTTTATGTAATTTTTTTGGGTTTTAAAGGGTTCCGAGGTTTCATTTTTTCCCCATTTTTTAAAAATTTCCCAAAAAGCAGGTGTCAAGGCTGTGGGCAGCTGTAAAAAGTTCCCCCCTACTTCACTTCAAGTGTTTTTTATATTTTTCTGGTCCTTGGGGAATCATTGAGGGCCACCCACTATTAAGTTTTGGCAAAAATTGAGGCCCCGCTAAAATTTCCGGTGCTGGGGGGCGTGGGGGTTTGCACTTTTTTCCAGTTTTCCCCTCATTTACAGACTCAATAAAAAACCGATCTGCAATTCTTATGAATTTTGTTTGGTTTAATGCTTCCGAGGGATCCCCTTTTTTTCCAGTTTTTTATATTGCTATCCCTTTTCGTACAATAAGAAAACCCCCAGAAAAATAGCAGCTCTTTTTTTCCCCTTACAGAAAGTCCCGGAAAAACGGGAGTGGGGTAACTCTACCCAAAACTCCATTTTAACTTTTCTGGGGCATGAGGGTTTTACGTTTTAACTCTGAACTTTTCAATAAAAAACCCTCCAAACTATGAAAAAAAAAATTTTTTTAAAATGTCAATCTGTGCCCCCCAAGTTTTTTCTTTGCTTATATGTTTTAATAATTCAGCATTTTCATATGGGACAGTAGTATAAAGCAAACTTAACATGTAAAAATATCTAAACCTACCGGGAACAGAATAAATCCTTATTTACTTTATAATTCTTTGGAAGGGGTTATTTGTAAGCCCCGGGTTTTAATTTTCGTTAAAACGCATTAAGACCATTTTTTCAAATTCGTCTTTTGGCCCCGTGTGCAAAATTTTAAAAAACCTTTCTCTCCTTCCTTTTTTTCTATAATTTTTTTAAAATTAAATTGTGAAAAATGAAAAATTTCCAATTAAAAAAAGCATCCCAACCCGATGTCATTAAAAAAGGGGCTAAGATAGCAAAATACAATTTTTCAACTTTTTCTCTGTTTTAATTTTTTAATTATTTTTTGCAAAAAAATTCCCTTTTTTAAGTGC